TGCACGGAACTTCCCATATCACGCCCCAAAGCATGGAACTTCTCGTATCACGCCCCAAAGCATGGAACTTCCCCTATCACGCCCCAAAGCATGGAACTTCCCCTATCACGCCCCAATGCATGGAATTTCCCCTATCACGCCCCAAAGCATGGAACTTCCCGTATCACGCCCCAAAGCATGGAACTTCCCATATCACGCCCCAAAGCATGGAACTTCCCCTATCACGCCCCAAAGCATGGAACTTCCCCTATCACGCCCCAAAGCATGGAACGTCCCCTATCACGCCCCAAAGCATGGAACATCCCGTATCACGCCCCAAAGCATGGAACTTCCCGTATCACGCCCCAAAGCATGGAACATCCCGTATCACGCCCCAAAAGCATGGACCTTCCCATATCTCGCCCCAAAGAATTGAACTTCCCGTATCGCGCCCCAAAGCATGGAACTTCCGTATCACGCCCCCCAAAGCATGGAACTTTCCGTATCTCGCCCCAAAGAATGGAACTTCCCGTATCGCGCCCCAAAGCATGGAACTTCCCCTATCACGCCCCCAAAGCATGGAACTTCCCCTATCACGCCCCAAAGCATGGAACTTCCCTATCACGCCCCAAAGCATGGAACTTCCCCTATCACGCCCCAAAGCATGGAACTTCCCGTATCACGCCCCAAAGCATGGAACTTCCCCTATCACGCCCAATGCATGGAACTTGCAGAACGATTTCCATTCTATTCTATGGATGAGAAATCGCAACAAAACAGCAGAAATAGTCACACAAGAACGACTTTAGAAATGGCGCCACAGCAAATCGCACGCGTTCAGACGCCGACATTCACATTCATGAGATGCCATTTCAGGTGCGATTTCTGAAGACTGTATTGCGACTTGTGAAGATTCTCAAAGATTTCTTGCGATTTGCAGCTCGATTTCCATTCTATGTATGTGAAATCGCAACAAAAAACAGCAGAAAAAGTCACGGAAGAGCTACATTAGAAATGGCGCCACAGCAAATCGCACGCGTTCAGGCGCCAACATTCACATTCATTAGATGCCACTTCAATTCCCAAATCGCACTTGAAATTGCACCAGTATGACTGAGTACTAAATCACCAGTCACACCGCTGCGCTTTGTGTGCGATTTCAGCGTGATTTCAGGTGCGATTTTTGAAGACTTTATTGTGACTTGTGAAGATTTTCAACGATTTCTTGCGATTTGCAGCGCAATTTCCATGATATTCTATGTCTGTGAAATCGCAACAAAACGGCAGAAAAAAGTCATGCAAGAACGGCTTTAGAAATGGCGCTGCAGCAAATCGCACGTGTTAAGACGCCGAAAATTCACCTTCATTAGATACAATTTCAGGTGCGATTTCTAAAGACTTTATTGCGACTTGTGAAGATTTTCAACAATTTCTTGCAATTTGCAGAACGATTTCCATTCTATTCTATGGATGTGAAATCGCAACCAAACGGCAGAAAAAGTCACGCAAGAGCTACGTTAGAAATCGCACCGCAGCAAATCGCACGCGTTCAGACTCCGACATTCACATTCATTAGATGCAATTCCCAAATCGTACTTTAAATTGCAGCGTTGTGACTGAGTACTAAGTCACCAGTCACACCGCTGCTGCGATTTGTATGCGATTTCAGCGTGATTTCTGAAGACTTTATTGCGACTTGTGAAGATTTTCAATGATTTCTTGCGATTTGCAGTGCGAATTCCATTCTATTCTATAGATGTGAAATCACAACAAAACAGCAGAAAAAGTCACGCAAGTACTACTTTAGAAATGGCGCTGCAGCAAATCGCACGCGTTCAGACTCCGACATTCACCTTCATCCGATGAGATTTCAATTCCCAAATCTCACCTGAAATCGCACGGTTGTGACCGGGCGCTTAGACTCCGTTCGCACCAAGGCGTTTTTTTTGTGCTTTTTGCTGTTTTCAGAAACGCACTACAGTCCATGTAACACGGTCTCCTATGGAACATGTAGGCTTTTTTGAGCCGCTGCGTTTTTTGGAAAGGGTCGGGGACTATTTTAGAAGCAGAAAGCCTTCAGGCTGACATTTCTTATCTGACAGAGAGAATACGAGGAACACACACACCCATCCCTGGGGGGGCGGGGCGACATTATTGCCTCAAATTGAATCCCTCAATCATTGCAAACTTTCATTGTCCAAAAAAATGTATATAAAGTGCTTGTGAGCCACTAAATACTAATACTTTACGTACTCGGGTCGTTGGTTCGAATCCCAGCCACGGCACCACCTGCCTGGAGTTTGCATGTTCTCCCTGTGCCTGCGTGGGTTTCCTCTGGGTACTCCGGTTTCCTCCCACACTCCAAAGACATGCTGATAGGTTAACTGTATCCTGTCTAAATTGTCCCTAGTATGTGTATGTATGAATGTGAGTTAGGGACCTTAGATTGTACGCCCCTCGGGGGCGGGGCCTGATGTGAATGTACAATATATATGTAAAGCGCGGAGTACATTGACGGCAATATAGAAGTACCTGCAATAAAGAAATAAATATTAATAAAAAAATATATGAAATGGTGTTGTTTGAATTCTGTGTGTATTGTGGTTCCCTGACACTCAGACAGACTCATATTCATGCATTAATAATTGATCTAAAAATTAAATATCACCAAATGTGAAATAAAACACCTACAGTTACAAGAAAAAGTATGTGAACCCCTTGGGATTACGTGGAGTTTTGCATGAATTGGGCATAAAATGTGCTCTGAACGTCATCTAAGTCACAACAATAGAAGAACACAGTCTGCTGAACATAATACTACACAAACATTAGATGTTGCCATGGTTTCATTGCACATAACATGTAAACATTCACAGCGCAGGGAGGAAAAAGTATGTGAGGCCCTAGCTTAATGACTTCTCCCAGAGCTAATTGGAGCCAGGAGTGAGCCAACCTTGACTCCAATCAGTGTGATGATATTGGATGTGTTGCTGACACCTGTTTTGGGTTTACTGGTTTCAAGAAGCACTGTCTGATGTGAACCATGCCTCGCAGGAAAGAGCTCTCAGAAGACCTACGATCAAGAATTGTTGACTTGCATGAAGCTGGAAAGGGTTACAAAAGTATCTCCTTGAGCCTTGATGTTCATGTGCCCACGGTAAGACAGACTGTCTACAAATGGAGAAAGTTTAGCACTGTTGCTACTCTCCCTAGGCGTGGTCGTCCTGTAAAAATGACTGCAAGAGCACCAGCGCAGAATGCTGCATGAGGTAAAGAAGAATCCCAGAGTGTCAGCTAAAGACCTACAGAAATCTCTGGCACATGCTAACATTTTTGTTGACACATCTACAATCAGGAAAACATACACAAGAATGGAGTACATGGGAGGACACCACGGAGGAAGCCATTGCTGGCCAAAAAGAATATTGCAGCACGTTTGAAGTTTGCAAAAGAGCACCTGGATGTTCCACAGCACTACTGGCAGAATATACTGTGGACAGATGACACCAAGATTGAGTTGTTTGGGAAGAACACACAACACTATGTGTGGAGAAAAAAAGGCCCAGCACACCAACATCAAACCTCATCCCCACTGTGAAACATGGCGGAGGGAGCATCATGGTTTGGGGCTGCTTTGCTGCCTCAGGGCTGGACGGATTGTTGTCATTGATGGGAAAATGAATTCCAGAGTTTATCAAGACATTTTGCAGGAAAACGTACGACCATCTGTCCGCCAACTGAAGCTCCGCAGAGGATGGGTGATGCAACAGGACAATGACCCAAAGCATACAAGTCATTCAACAAAACAATGGCTGCAACAGCACAGAATACGCCTTCTGGAGTGGCCCAGTCAGAGTCCTGACCTCAACCCCATTGAAATGCTGTGGCATGACCTTAAGAGAGCGATTCACACCAGACATCCCAAGAATATTGCTACACTGAAACAGTTTTGTGAAGAGGAGTGGTCCAAAATGACTCCAGATCGTTGTGCAGGTCTGATCTGCAACTACAGGAAACGTTTGGTTGAGGTTATTGCTGCCAAAGGAGGGTCAACCAGTTATTAAGTCCAAAGGTTCACATACTTTTTCCTCCCTGCACTGTGAATGTTTACATGTTATGTGCAATGAAACCATGGCAACATCTAATGTTTGTGTAGTATTATGTTCAGCAGACTGTGTTCTTCTATTGTTGTGACTTAGATGTCGTTCAGAGCACATTTTATGCCCAATTCATGCAAAACTCCACGGAATCCCAAGGGGTTCACATACTTTTTCTTGCAACTGTATAATAATTAATTTTCTAATATAATGAATCCCTTAATAATCTGCTTCATCCAAAAACATGATCAATAATACAAATGAATACACTTTAAATAAATGTCTGTGATATATTAATACTTTAGAATTGTATGATAAATCAATAAACACACAAAAAAAAAAAATTTAATAAATCAAATAAATGATTAAAAATATATAAATAATATATAAAAAAAAAAATATAAAAATTATAAAAAAAAAATTAATATAAAAATTATATTAACCACTTGCCTACCCGGCACTTCTACCCCCTTCCTTACCAGGCCAATTTTCAGCTTTCAGCGCTGTCGTACTTTGATTGACAATTGCGCGGTCATGCAAGATTGTACCCATATGAAATTTTGATCATTTTTTTCTCACAAATAGAGCTTTCTTTTGGTGGTATTTAATCGCCACTGGGTGCTTTACTTTTTGCGCTATAATCAAAAAAAGTGCAAAAAATTTGAAAAAAAAAAAAGTTTCTTTGTTTCTATTATAAAATATTTCAAACAGGTAATTTTTCTCCTTCACAGATGTGCATTGATGAGGCAGCACTGATGGGCACTGATAGGCAGTACTGAAGGGCACTGATAGGCAGCACTGGTAGGCAGCACTAATGAGGTGGCACGGATAGGCGGCACCGATAGGCAGCACTAATGAGGCATCACTGATAGGCAGCACTGATAGGCGGCACTGATAGGGGACACTGATGATATGTACTGATAGCACTGATAGGTGGCACTGACTGGCATCACTGCTGGGCACTGAGTGGCGGCACTGCTGGGCACTGACTGGCACAACCGCTGGGCACCTGACTGGTAGCACTGACTGGCAGCACTGCTGGGCTGCACTGATGGGCACAGGTGGGCGGCACTGCTGGGCACAGGTGGGCGGCACTGCTGGGCACAGGTGGGCGGATCTAGTGAGTGCACTGCTGGGCACAGGTGGGCGGGACTTGTGGGTGGCACTGCTGGGCACCGATCATCAGGGCACTGATCATCAGTGCCCTGATGATCGGTGCCAATCCCTGCATTGACAACTGACGGTTCTCGGCAGTACTTTCCTCACGATCTAACTGCATTTGCATTTCCCGGTGATCAGCGTGTCATTGGACATGTCTGATCACGTGGTAAAAAGGCCGCTGTGATTGGCCTTTTACCATGTCACGTGATCAGCTGTGTCCGTAGGACACAGCAATAACGGAGATCGCCGGGTGCGCGCCTCCAGGGGTGCGCAGGAGAGTGCATTCTGGGAGGACATCATATGACGCCCTCCCAGAACTGGCCGGCCGCAGTGTAGCCTTCATTCGGCTATCTGCAGTCAGCAAATAGTTAATTGATTTCGGGACATTTACAATATATATTTTGCATATAATTTTTATATATTATTTATATATTTTTAATCATTTATTTGGTTTATTATTACACATTTTTTTTGTGTGTTTATTAAGCACATTATTAAAGGGATTCATTATTATAGGTGTTTTATTTCACATTTTGGAGCGCGACACAGTTATATTTAATTTTAAACTTTCATTGTCTGACACCTTCCAGTGCAGTCAGAAGTCGCATGTTGGCTATTGGTCAGTCCAGACTGAGGCGGTTCTTCCCTCCATCACCTGAATGTAACGTAAATGTAGAACATAAGCTCCGCCCAACACGGTATAAATCGCAAAGATTCTGATCTTAACACCTTCACTGCCGGCCACCACACGGCACACATCATAAGAGTTGTAATGCAAAGTGATCAGCGGCAAGCCCCTCATAAACGCATGTGTGCGTCCAACCCCTCCCCCCATCCACGCTGTGCCTGGTATAATGAACGGCTCTTCTGTCCTCGGAGGAACACTTTGTCTAAGCTGCTTCTGATTATACTTTCAAGTTTATTACCGTGGAAGCTGCACGATTCCATAGCAGTGTGCGTGATCTCCCACCGCGCTCCCACCCCCCCCCCCCCGTCAGCTCATCGCTCCATCCGCTATCTGCGATCACTTTGACCTGCTTCATATTCCTCCAAATTGCTTTAATATGGCTGATAGTAGATTGCTAATGCATCCTCCTAAAGCAATTTACAATACTCGGAGGAGCCTTTGCACAATTCGGGTGACGCACACACACCAGCGCGGGTGGAGACACACCGCGGCTCATCGGTTTATCGAACGAGGAGAAATCTCTGGGACTCTGGCCGTCTTCTGCCGATCGTCTGCATAGATGAAAAGTAGGACAGGAAATACAATTGGCCGAGCTCTGCACTGAGACAACAAACCTTTCATCTCCAGCTTGTTCCTCAAAAGTTCACTCCAGTCAAATCTGAGACCTTCAGATGTATAAAGGAGGCAGAATGCCCCAGTCCACTCCACTACCTTTTGTTGGTCAACTTGCAGGGGCGACAGACTGACAACTCATGGGGCCCCCGGGCAATAGGGGATCATGGGGCCCCATGTGTTCTTACCCAAACTCAAAAAAGCCTATGAAAAAGGTACCAGGGGCATCTCATGGGGCCCTCTACTGACCTCGGGCAGTTTCCAAATGGTCAGTCCGCCCCTGTCAACTGGTCATATGAGATGAGAACCCCCCCCCCCCCCAGGAGAGATTGTACCATGCAAATCTGCAAGCAGGCTCCTTCCAGTCTCTCAATGTTTTTCTTTGAACCTTTTAAATTATTTTGTAGTAAAACAAGGAAGCAGAATCCCCGCTGTAGAATGCTGTACATACATACGGCTTACAGTTGTAGGAGAACAATACAGAACATACAGAGTATTACCGACATACATACAACACGCACACACTACCCAACCTTTCCAGGAAATGAGCGCTGACAATGGCTTGCGTGTGTTAGGGATACACTACAAGTTACGTAGCTTGGGTTATGGTTCACGATTTCTGTAACAGGACAGCAATTGTAGGAAACCAGAAGCTCTCGTAGTGTAGATTTATTGTCATCCCCAGGTGAGGTTCCTTCTTTGGTCTTGTGAAGTCCCCTTTGGCACAGACATTCCTTCTACCCAGTTCTTCTTCTTATGGAGCCTCCTCTTTCTACTTAGGTGTTCTTCTTCTTATGGAACCTCCTCCTTCTACTCAAGTGTTCTTCTTCTTATGGAGCCTCCTCCTTCTACTCAAGTGTTCTTCTTCTTATGGAGCCTCCTCCTTCCACCCAGTTCTTCTTCTTCTTATGGAGCCTCCTCTTTCTACTTAGGTGTTCTTCTTATGGAATCTCCTCCTTCTACTCAGGTGTTCTTCTTCTTATGGAACCTCCTCCTTCTACTCAGGTGTTCTTCTTCTTATGGAGCCTCCTCCTTCTACTCAGGTGTTCTTCTTCTTATGGAGCCTCCTCTTTCCACCCAGTTCTTCTTCTTCTTATGGAGCCTCCTCTTTCTGCTTAGGTGTTTTTTTTCTTCTTATGGAGCCTCCTTCTTTTACTCAGGTCTTCTTAATCTTCTGGAGCCTTTTCCTTCTTCTTATGGGGCTTATTGCTTCTACCCAGGTCTTCTTCTTATGGAGCCTCCTAATTCTACCCAGGTCTTCTTAATCTTGTGGAGCCTCCTCCTTCTACTCTGGTCTTCTTCTTCTTATGGAGCCTCCTCCTCCTGCTGTGGTCTTCTTCTTCTTCTTCTTCTGGAGCCTCCTCTTTCTAACCAGATTTTCTTAATCTTGTGGAGTGTCTTCCTTCTACCTAGGTCTTCTTCTTATGAGGACTCTTCCTTCTACCCAGGTCTTCTTGGTGTTATGGAGCCTCATTCCTTCTACTCAATCTTCTTCTTATAGAGCCTCCTTCTTACACCATGGTCTTCTTCTTATGGAGCCTCTTCTTTCTACCCAGGTCTTTTTCTTTTTATGGAACCTCTTCCTTCTTCTCAGGTCTCCTTCTTCTTATGGAGCCTCCTCCTTTTAGCCAGGTCTTTTTCTTCTTATGGAGCCTCCTCCTTCTACCCAGGTCTTTTTCTTCTTATGGAGCCTCCTCCTTCTACCCAGGTCTTCTTCTTCTTATGGAGCCTCCTCCTTCTACCCAGGTCTTCTTCTTCTTATGGAGCCTCCTCCTTCTACCCAGGTCTTCTTAATCTTGTGGAGCCTCTTCCTTTTACCCAAGTCTTCTTCTTATGTGGCACCTTCCTTCTATTCAGGTCTTCTCGGTGTTATAGAGCCTCTTTCCTTCTACTTGATCTTCTTCTTATGGAGCCTCTTCCTGCTTCCCAGGTCTTCTTCTTTTTATGGAAGACAGGAAGAACACAAACTGCCGGTAGGTTTTGGTGGTAGAACTTGCAGCAGGAGATTCAGGCTTGGAAGGTCTGGCAGAACATCAGGTCAGGACTGGAAGTTGAATAGGATGGACCAGATGAGGTTAAAGGGGCACTCTGCACAGCAGGTTCTGGAAATGAGGCTTGTCAGAGCTCCCAGCAGGCTTCAGGCAGAAATGTACTGTGATGACCAGGGGCGGACTGACAACTCTTGGGGCCCCCAGGCAATAGGGGATCATGGGGCCCCTGTGTCCTTGCCCAAACTCAAAAAAGCCTATGAAAAAGGTATCAGGGACATCTCATGGGGCCCCCTACTGACCCCGGGCCCTCGGGCAGTTCCCGAGTCTCCAAATGGTCAGTCCGCCATGGTGATGACTGAAGCCGGTGTGGATGACAACCAGAGCAGGCACTCAGAAGCAACATACAGGTAAATTGGAGACAGGAGCATGGTCACAGAGGAAGCCAAGGTAAGCAGCGAGTAGTCAATAAGGTACAGAAGTGTAAGGAGAAGCATAGTCAAGAGCACAGCTGAGGTCAGGAACATGTAGGCAGAAGTACAAGCAGGATCCAGGGTCAGGTCTGTAATAAGCTGGGTCATCAATGGAGGTGAGAAACAGGATGCAAACAGGACACAGAGAAAAGCAATGAGTCAGCACTGACAGTGGGCAATAGGCCATCTGGCACTCACAGGGACTGTAGATGTACTACTGCACGCAAGTGCGCATTCCTATGTTCCTGGTCGCAATTCTATGGCTAATACCATACGCATGCACACGCCTGTGCGCCACCCGTCTTACTGGAATTCCCTGACAGAGCCTCTTCCTTCTACCCAGGTCTTCTTCCAGATTCCCCGCCCAATGTTCACATGGCTGTGTTCTTATTTTCTTGACCACCCTTCCTATTTCCTGCCAACATCAGTTCCGGCTTACCTAGCCTTCATGAACCAGTTCAACAAGTTAACTAGCATTTGAATAGAGGAAGCCCCGCTATCTGTGTATGGCCAGTTTTAGTCTTCACTCCCCTTGTGATCAAACTAAAACATGGTACCTTAGTGAGCGCTGAATACAGCCAGGAACTGTGCAGACACCAGGACAGGATTTATATGTGTTATTTCTGTGCCACCATCTTGGCCCAAGAAGTATATGCTTGAATAATTATAGCCGTACTTTGAAAAGAATAAAAAATGCCTGGAAGTGTTACACTTCACCATTACTTACCATATACTTCACATAAAAATCTGCTGTTAGATTTGTTTTAACAACCTCCTTATGCTTCTCAGCCGCACAGAACATCATAAGGAGGTTGTTAGAGTAGACCCAACGTCGAATTTGTCATGTTAAAGCAGAACTAAAGTCTGCAATACTTACTGTCCCTCCTACGGTCCAATATCTCCAAGGACCCTTGCCAGCGGTGGTATCTTCTCCTCACCTTTTTCTGGGTGTCAAGTCTTTGGCTGTCTTGATTGGCCAGTGCAATGATGTAATTTCTGTGCATATGCAGGAGGTTATTTATCTCAGCACACAGGCACCATGCCGGGAATGTACCCCGACCCATGCATGCACAGCTCATTGTACATTATAAGAAGAACGCAACAAGAAGGTATGTTTCTGTTAGCAGATGTTCCAAAAGTAAGGTACTGCTTCAAACCTCCCAAAACACATTGGGTGCCATCCAAAGGGATCTTGTTGGCACTCTGTACTCCATGTCCAGACAGGTAAACAGCCTCACACCAAAGACATCACTCAGAGCAAAACATTAATGCACCAGCTACCTACAGTGTGTGCTTTCTGATTCATTTCACCCTCGTTGACTTAATTGTAAAGATGAATTCTAGGGTGCATTACTAGAGGGGTCACCGGCAGGAGGAAGGAGGTCCCGATTATTCTATATAGATCTTTATATCACTAGAGGGGTCACCGGCAGGAGGAAGGAGGTCCCGATTCCTCTATATAGATCCTATCACTAGAGGGGTCACCGGCAGGAGGAAGGAGGTCCTGATTCCTCTATATAGATCTATCACTAGAGGGGTCACCGGTGGGAGGAAGGAGGTCCTGATTCCTCTATATAGATCCTATCACTAGAGGGGTCACCGGCAGGAGGAAGGAGGTCCTGATTCCTCTATATAGATCATTATATCACTAGAGGGGTCACCGGCGGAGGAAGGAGGTCCTGATTCCTCTATATAGATCCTGTCACTAGGGGGTCACCGGCAGGAGAAAGGAGGTCCCGATTCCTCTATATAGATCTTTATATCACTAGAGGGGTCACCGGCAGGAGGAAGGAGGTCCCGATTCCTCTATATAGATCCTATCACTAGAGGGGTCACCGGCAGGAGGAAGGAGGTCCTGATTCCTCTATATAGATCCTATCACTAGAGGGGTCACCGGCAGGAGGAAGGAGGTCCCGATTCCTCTATATAGATCCTATCACTAGAGGGGTCACCGGCAGGAGGAAGGAGGTCCCGATTCCTCTATATAGATCCTATCACTAGAGGGGTCACCGGCAGGAGGAAGGAGGTCCCGATTCCTCTATATAGATCCTGTGACTAGAGGGGTCACCGGCAGGAGGAGGAGAGGTCCTGATTCCTCTATATAGATCTATCACTAGAGGGGTCACCGGCAGGAGGAAGGAGGTCCTGATTCCTCTATATCAGTGGTTCTCAACCTTTCTAATGCCGCGACCCCTTAATTACAGTTTCTCATGTTGTGGTGACCCCCAACCATAAAATTATTTTCGTTGCTACTTCCCTACTCATAACTGTAATTTTGCAGTGGGAGGAATAGTGCCCCATCACTGATGTCAGTGGGAGGAATAGTGCCCCATCATTGGTATCAGTGGGAGGAATAGTGCCCCATCATTGGTGTCAGTGGGATGAATAGTGTCCCATCATTGGTGTCAGTGGGAGGAATAGTGCCCCATCATTGGTGTCAGTGGGAGGAATAGTGTCCCATCATTGGTGTCAGTGGGAGGAATAGTGTCCCCATCATTGGTGTCAGTGGGAGGAATAGTGTCCCATCATTGGTGTCCGTGGGAGAATAGTATGTCCCATCATTGGTGTCAGTGGGAGGAATAGTGTCCCATCATTGGTGTCCGTGGGAGGAATAGTGCCCCATCACTGGTGTCAGTGGGAGGAATAGTGCCCCATCATTGGTGTCAGTGGGAGGAACAGTGCCCCATCATTAGTATCAGTGGGAGGAATAGTGCCCCCATCATTGGTGTCAGTGGGAGGAAAAGTGCCCCATCATTGGTGTCAGTGGGGGAATAGTGCCCCATCATTAGTGTCAGTGGGAGGAATAGTGCCCCAATCTTGGTGTCAGTGGGGGGGAATAGTGCCCCCATCATTGGTGTCAGTGGGAGGAATAGTGTCCCATCATTGGTGTCAGTGGGAGGAATAGTGGTCCCATCATTGGTGTCAGTGGGGGAATAGTGCCCCATCATTGGTATCAGTGGGGGGAATAGTGCCCCATCATTGGTATCAGTGGGAGGAATAGTGCCCCATCATTGGTGTCAGTGGGAGGAATAGTGCCCTATCATTGGTATCAGTGGGAGGAATAGCGCTCCCATCATTGGTGTCAGTGGGAGGAATAGTGCCCCATCATTGGTATCAGTGGGAGGAATAGCGCTCATCATTGGTGTCAGTGGGAGGAATAGTGCCCCATTGTGGGTGTCAGTGGGAGGAATAGTGCCCCATCGTTGGTGTCAGTGGGGGGAGGAATAGTGCCCCATCGTTGGTGTCAGTGGGGGGAGGAATAGTGCCCCATCGTTGGTGTCAGTGGGGGGAGGAATAGTGCCCCATCGTTGGTGTCAGTGGGGGGAGGAATAGTGCCCCATCGTTGGTGTCAGTAGGGGGAGGAATAGTGCCCCATCGTTGGTGTGTCAGTGGGGGGAGGAATAGTGCCCTATCGTTGGTGTCAGTAGGGGGAGGAATAGTGCCCCATCGTTGGTGTCAGTGGGAGGAATAGTGCCCCATCGTTGGTGTCAGTAGGGGGGGAATAGCGTCTCATCGTTGGTGTCAGTGGGGGGAGGAATAGTGCCCCATCGTTGGTGTCAGTGGGGGGAGGAATAGTGCCCCATCGTTGGTATTAGTGACACAAATGATGGGGCACTATCCCCTCCCACTGACACCAATGATACTTACCTTGCTGACTCCTGCTCCAGCCTGGGCTCGCTCTCTCCCTCTCCCATCTACAACCTGCATACCTGGCTGCAGCAGCAAAATTTGCACTTACATGTCAGCTGTCTTCCTTCTCTGGCCTCTCTCTTCACTCGTTCCTGCAGCTCCCTCGATCTTCTTCGATCTCCGCGCGCTGCCGCTCGGCTCCTCCTCTCCAAGCTCCACCTTCTCGCCGGTGATTAGCCGCCTGTGTGCCTCTCCTGAACTACAGTTCCGGTGGCCAATCAGCGGCGAGGAGGCGGTGACAGGGGCAGCATTTCATCCCGCCCACACATCGCCGGAGACAGGAGCGGCGTCTCGGTTCCTAAGACCATCAGAAATATGTTTTCCCGATGGTCTTAGGCGACCCCTGGGAAATGGTCGTTCGACCCCCAAAGGGGTCGCGACCCCCAGGTTGAGAACCGCTGCTCTATATAGATCTTTATATCACTAGAGGGGTCACCGGCAGGAGGAAGGAGGTCCCGATTCCTCTATATAGATCTTTATATCACTGGAAGGGTCACCGGCAGGAGGAAGGAGGTCCTGATTCCTCTATATAGATCTTTCACTAGAGGGGTCACCGGCAGGAGGAAGGAGGTCCCGATTCCTCTATATAGATCCTATCACTAGAGGGGTCACAGGCAGGAGGAAGGAGGTCCTGATTCCTCTATATAGATCTATCACTAGAGGGGTCACCGGCAGGAGGAAGGAGGTCCCGATTCCTCTATATAGATCCTATCACTAGAGGGGTCACCGGCAGGAGGAAGGAGGTCCTGATTCCTCTATATAGATCTTTATATCAATAGAGGAGTCACCGGCAGGAGGAAGGAGGTCCTGATTCCTCTATATAGATCTTTATATCACTAGAGGAGTCACCGGCAGGAGGGAGGAGGTCCTGATTCCTCTATATAGATCCTATCACTAGAGGGGTCACCGGCAGGAGGAAGGAGGTCCTGATTCCTCTATATAGATCCTATCACTAGAGGGGTCACCGGCAGGAGGAAGGAGGTCCTGATTCCTCTATATAGATCTATCACTAGAGGGGTCACCGGCAGGAGGAAGGAGGTCCTGATTCCTCTATATAGATCCTATCACTAGAGGGGTCACCGGCAGGAGGAAGGAGGTCCCGATTCCTCTATATAGATCCTATCACTAGAGGGGTCACCGGCAGGAGGAAGGAGGTCCCGATTCCTCTGTATAGATCCTATCACT